CCATCTAAATAGGCATGCTTGGTTGTTATCCATTCATTTTAATGCATATGCGCATGTGCAGTATGCTAAACTAGCTTTTGAAGGGGACAACGAACCAGAAAGAAGCTTTACATTATTGTGTATACACAAAATAGACAAATAGAAGCATTACAAGTACATGTAGCTGGATTGATTATGGGGCAATGTATTAAAAATGTGCATGTCTGTGTGAATGCATACTGAAATTTATAGGATCTACATGTAATATCTCAATAAAAAACAATTCTTAACCTTTATTATTCTCTGATAGGTGTTGTTGTCCATGGTCTAATGCTTGTAGGGTAAGGACTGCACAAGAAGAGGACACTGTAGCCATTGTTGGTATAAAGAATGAGAACAAAGATGATACGAGTGATGAGGCTGAAGATGAGTGAGTCTTTAATCATATACCCTCTCTTTCTCCTCCCTGACTTCCTCCCTTCTCTCTGTCTCTCCCCTCTCCTCTTTTTTTTTCTTCCTCCTCCCTCTCCCCTCTTTCTCAATCCCAATACTCTAATCATGTACATGTACTGTTCTTTCTCTCTTCTCTCTACAGTGAGAATGAGTCACTGATAAAAGATACAGATGTCCTTGAGTCTAGTCTGTCAGCTAAATTTGACAAATAATGGATCAAGCAACCTTTGTATCATTTTGTGTACTACATGTAATAGCATTAATTGTTAGATTTTTATGATAGACAGATTTTATTATTTTGCTATTATTTTTAAAAATTTATGCATGCAGCAGGTTGTACAATGTAACACAATAGAACTATAAATGATGTGGGCAAGACTTATAGATCTAATGGTAATAGCAAGGATACTGTGAATTTTAGATACATATGTTTGCTCTTGCATGGGTAATAACGGGTGGTATTACTGCAGAGATAATAAGTACATAGCATATGTAGACTATAAGGTAAAAACTTAGTCTTAGTGCTAACATCACACAAGACATCTTGGTCTTGGCATACTAGATATACGACAGTCATATATCTATGGTCTTGGCCCAAGTCCAAGCCTGAACTGTATGCATGCTGCAGTTCAGACCAATATCTATGCCTTCAGGCTGAGATGATACATTGTTGACCAGTAAACAAAATGACAAACAAATCCGGCATACAATCAACAATACACCGATGCAGAGAAAAACTTATACAATATGGTATTCATACAAATAAGTGTAAGTACATGGTATAAGTGTCACTGAGTCACACAACACAGTTTTTGGGTACTTTGCAATAACTCGCCACAACCTAAAATAATACAATAACTAGATTACCTCAGTAAAATTAATTTCACTAACCATATCTTCTTTTTTGTAAAAGTAACTTGTTCCCACTTCTTGCTGAGGCTCAACCAAAAAGCAATGATTATTTTCGTTATACCAGATTTTATCACCAGCAATGAATGCTGCAGCTCGACCTGCTCCACTAGCTGACTCTTGCAGTGGTCGACGAGGAAGAGCTGCCGCTATCAAGTTATCTCTTGCTTCTCTAAGCCACATTATAAATAACAGCATAAGTATCATGTCTCAACTACGCAACCAACGAAAGACTTATTTTGAAGAAGGGGAAGAAAAAGAGCAGCAAGAAAATTATAGTTGTAGAAATTCCCGCCGGGTTAAGAGGTAGTCTGCATCTGAGGAGCTGATAAGTGTATTCACAGCTATTATGAACAATAGACTACGCCAAAACAAATTTTTGGATCAGAGCATAGATAATAGAGTAAATGAAATTTACTCTATTTCTATAATAATTAGAGTAACTTCATTTACTCTAATCACTATGCTCTAATATCTATGATCAGAGCCTCATTTCATCTTTCACTCCATGAATATCATTATTAATTAAATGAATATAATTATTAATTAAATGAATATCATTATTATTATTAATTAATTTTAAATCCCGTCTCATGTAGTTTTGACATCCCTGCCGATGTCAAAAAAAGGAGCTAGGAGTCTATACAAGACCAAGCTAAGCCATATAAAATTGAGTATACTTGACTATGGCTAAGCTAAATACCATAATGGGTACATAGTGTGACAAAATAATGAGTATATTATTTGTGTTCAAAAATCTCTACTGTCTATCATGGCATGCATTACATCAGAAGTCCATACTCTCCAGTCCTTCCTCTAAAAATTGTTTATATATTCTCATAAATTTTGCTGTGAAGGCCTCAAGATGAAAGATTGCTTTACTACCCAGTTGTGACTGAGCTTGATACTGAGCTGCTAATTGAGTCACTTTAGCTTTCAATGTGCCATCACAGTTACATGTAGCAACCAGCTCATTTAATATCCTCTGTAGAAGGAAAATATTAGAAAAAATATTGCAATAATTAATTTTAAATACATGTACATGTGTATTTCCTATTACTTTCCCTTTCTTCCAGTAGAAGGAAGAAATTGACTATGAGTCTCTCATTTCCTCTTATATCACTCTCCCTCCCCCCCTCTCTCTCTCTCTTAGTTACTTTAAAAATAATATCAGGTGGTATACAATGAGTTAACAGCTCATAATAACATCCTCTTACTTCAAGTAACCTCAAAAATAAATACAATACATTTAAATCATAGATATTACACCCACAGGGATTGGAAACCGCCCACGCATTCTATAAATAGGCGTGAGCTATCCTTGTTTGTGCGCTTGGCTCTCTTATCTATGTAAACACAGGCGCAATAGTTCTTGCTCTTGTATAAATTTGTGGGACTGTTTCTTCAACAATAGACCAAAAGGGCACAAGGTAAAGTTATTATTAGCTACTTACGTAGCAAATCTATAATAATAAGGGTCTTTTATACGGAAATGTATTATAATACTGCCAGTAGCGCTTGTTATGCCTTTTGTCTTTGTGGGACTCCATCTGATAAAGAAAAGCTAGTCTGAAGTTTTTGCATGTTTAGAGTAGTAGAGATTTGTTTTGTCTATAATATTAAATATTATAGACAAAAAACTTGACAACAGTAAGATATAGCAATGCTAGCATACTTTAAACCTCTCTCTCTTTGTGTTATTAATTAAAATAGTCGAATTCTGATAATTATTATAAAAACTTTGATATGAAGTTTCCATTTGGACAACAAATGCTATCAGACAGTGAGCTAAACAATTTAATATTTATTTATTTATTATAGACATGATGGTAGACTGATTGGCTTTGTTGACCTTGGAAACATTAACAATCACTTGGCTCAGTTTGAAGCTTCCATCAATAATGATAGCGATGATGTCAGCTCTTATTCTCTTCCTCTAGCAAATTCTATAATTACTTTTATGGTCAAAGGTTTATT